CTCACGCCAAATTTTTACACCCTCGTAGAGGAGTCCCTCCCCGATGGGCGCACGTCTCTTGCCAGGCCGGTGACAAAAAGAAGTTTGTTTACACTGGTGCCATAACGGCTGCGCAGATCTCGCAGTTCATCGAGGAGCCTTACAGCACTGCTCAGAACGAAGGATTACATGGGGAGTTTACGAAAATAAGGGACCTTAATATAGACCCCCGAATAGGATTCCTTTAAGAATAAGGACCCAATAACGTACCCCTAATATCGGAAACCCCCCATATTGAGTCCGGCAGAAAGGTGTGTAATGATCTGGGTCGTCACCTACAGCTGAAGCTTGTATCTTCCAGTGAACCTAAACCCACATCGCCCCGTCGCGATTGTCGTTTTTTGTTGAGTGCCGTCAATCTCGTTGAGCGAGTGTTGGCAATGGGGGTTACCCCGGCAGCTTTTCCCGTGGAAGACTGCGGAACCTATTGGTGCGGGATTTGAAGGGCTTCCCCCCCACGCCTCTGGCCCCCCTCTCCACTTGTCCAGCAATCCCGCATCCAGGGGCACCAAACCGGTGGTTACTTCCAGCTCGAAACCCCCTTGCTGCAATTTGTGTCATGATTACACCACGGGTGAGGGGGTCGTTGTAGTACGAGTGCCTCGTATTCCGCCTGTTCCAGTCCGCTAGTGCCCCTGAGCCAGGATGTGAGCACTGGGAAGCTGACACCAACGTTGAAATCGGAGCCGAAACCTGCGGCCACTGGGGCTCCACAGTCAGTGAGGGGGGAACACCATTTTGTGTTCGAAGCTAAGAAGGTCCCCGGTCCTCATACGGTTTCGTTTCTCCGGCAGGGTCAGCAGGGGCGGCGGGCAGCTTTAGGGTGCATACTGCATAGGTCATAGCATCACGAGCGCATGTACAAAGCCACGCGCTGACCACGCCGAGCCCCCAAGGGTGGGACCGCATCTTTAAACGGTGGTTTCTTTCATTTGGCAGTGCCTTGAAGATCCCCTTGCCTACCGGCTTCCATCCAGAGCTCTTCTTGGGTGCGAGAAGCTTTGCTTTCTCTTATCTAGCAGGGCTCGGGGTGCGACTAGCGCTTGCACAGATAGCGTATGGTGTTAGAGCTTCGCAGCCGGTTAGCCACGGCCCAGGTGAACGACGATGCCGTCAAAGTGGTGGTGGGCTCCACCTTGGAGCAGGCTGCTAGTCGTGCAAAAAATGAGGATTTCGGTTTTTGCTAGTTGAGGGTCGCTGTCGAGTGCGGCATCATAGCAAGCAGCGTCTCTTTGCATCATCTTTGCCTTCACGCCAAGCACGCCCAAACAATGCAGAGGCCTCCGCTGCACATGTCGAATCATAATCCCGAAGAATGATGTTCGCATGTTCACCGCAATCTGCGTGAGAGGACTTGTAGGGCGACATCCGTCCCAACGTGGAGCTTTGTGAGATCCGGCCCTTGAATTACAAAACTGCAGCCCGAAAGCCTGGACATGTTGAATCAACTTCTATGGCGGGACCTTGGGTTATTTAGGGGCCTATAAATCTAGGTTTATAGGGACTGTATAAGGGTGATATAGGGGAATCCGATGAGGGTCCCTTCTAGAGATCCCTCCTTCTATCCCCGAATACTAGGACTCTAGGACGGTGCGACCACTTCCATCCCAGGAGGTCTTCACCCCTGACAAAGATGTGTTGCTCGAAGTCTACGCGCCCTGGTGCGGGCACTGCAAGCTGCTGAGAGCTGATTTAGGGTTTAGGGTTTGGGGTTCAGGGTTTAGGGTTTAGGGCTTAGGGTTTAGGGCTTAGGGTTTAGGGTTTAGTTGGCTGAAGGCTTCTGGTAACTGAATGTTCTTCTGCGAGCCAGGAACATACCCTCATGGCAAGAAGACCACCCTGAACCCAGGATCGGGCACGTCCTCTCATCATCGGGTTTCGAGAAGAGATGCTGAGGAGGAGTTGAGGTAACTCAATGTGGCTGACAGGTGGAGAGATGTGGAGAGGCACATGACATAGAGGTCCGACGCACCAAAACCTCTGTTCTTCCCCTCAACCACGCCTGGCAATATTCCTGCATCCACATCACCCGAGGAAGTTAGAGCCCGAGTACAGCAAGCTCGCAAAGAAGATCAAGAAGGAGGAGCTGGGCCGCCTGGAAGCAGACAAACTCTTGCTTTGGAGGGGCTGGCTCTTGACCTCCCCCTTTGGGAGAACCTTTTCGCAGAGGCTGCCTCTAGGATGCAACAGTTCTGTTGCGTTCAGACAGTGTGATTTCGATGCTTCCGCCCTTGAAGCCTTTGAAGACCGGAGGATCCGGAGGCTGGATGAGCCCTGGACTTCTTTGCTTATTCTCAACCCTTACTCGACTTGCAGCCTTATGTGGATCAGAGTTTTCGTTGACCCAAAGAGCATCCAATCCAACACCTCATCTTAAAGCATCCATGCTCTGCTGAGCTTGGTTGGGCCTTGTACAGGACGATGGGCTGAGGGATTTTGAGGGAATTCGGGCCCTACATATACCCGTTAAGGGATTCCACAGAATACCTCATTCCCGCATTTGCCTATATTAAGAACCAGCCAGTCTGGTCCTTCTGCGCCTAGGCGACCTGCTGTCCGTTGCCAAGATTGACGGCACTGCCAATGATAGCCCGGTGGACTCCCTCGAGCTTTTGCACCGATGGCTCTAGGGATCTCTAGGGTTTAGGGTTTAGGGTTTAGGGTTCTTGGCTTGCTTCACTGCATGGTTCGGAGCAAAAGTGCTGCTTGGATTCAGCTTTGTTATGCAGATGTCTGTTCTCAAGTATAGGAGTTCCTGGGAAGGTTTCGCACCTGAAGCACGAAAGCTCGATTTGGTGGGGCGGGGGGGAGGGGGGGAGGGAGGGGGGAAGCAATGTACAATTCTGGATCAGCCACGTCATCTCGGGAGACCCCAGTATGTAGATGTATGTAGTACGATGCTATTGTAAGAAACCCCTCAAGGGCACCACACCCCATGTTCCGAAATCACCCCTAAACCCTAAACCCTAAACCCTAAATCCCCCCAAGGACTGGAGCTCCTTCCCAACGATCTTCTTTGTCAAGGCTGGGCAGAGCAACGCGACCGTCTATGACGGTGAGAGAACTGCCAAGGGCTTGTGGCCGCCGGGTTCGAAAAGGGGGGGCTCCAGGGCTCACGTGTCCAAGCGCTCCAGGGGCTCACTAGGCTTTTGATGAGAATCCGGAAGAACCCTACACAAAGCAGCCTGGTAATGCTAGCTTGAGGGCGTCAATTTCCAGACAAAGCCCTATGTCATCCCAACCTTTGCTATCCAAAGACGACTGACCACGTCTTGTCATCCCGAGCCCCTTGTAGAACTGAACCCTGCAGGCCCTATGAAGTCAGTTCCGCTGAACCCCTTTGTGCAACATCAAGCTTCGCCTCCGGGTGGGTTAGGAGGGTGGCAAAGCACCAAACCACGCAGCTGCAGCTCAGGAAGTACATCCGGAAGCACGCGACCAAAGCTCAGGAGCTGCGTGAGAGGCTCGAGCGGCGGAAGGCCCGCAGCGGGGATTTAAGCTCCGGAGGGCTCAGAGAGCGCACAGCTCAAAGAGGCTCCAGGGACTTTGTGGAAGTATGGAAGGTGGAAAGGAGCCTATAGGTCTCGAGGGGTGATTGAAAGGCATGGCGGAAGACCATACCTGAGCTGTGGTATCGTTGCCATATATCAAAGTGGTGAGATGCTTTGTAGCTGAGTGCCGGAAGGGCTCAGAGTGAAATTTGATGCTGATGGTTCTGCTGACAACGATGATCTCGCTCTCCCTCTCCCCCTTCTCTCTGTTTTTCTCTCTCCCTTGTGGTTTGCCAGTGCTCGTGTGCTTCTTGACTCTCCCACACCATCGCACATGTTTTTGCGAGCCCTTGGGCCCTGCCTGACATTCTCTGGCTTTGCCAGGGCAACAAAGGAAGAGGTGCCACCCTTAGTCTCCACCTGGCAGAACCAGGTTCTTGTTCCATAGCCCGAATCCTTTGGTCAAGGGCGCGAAGCCTGCATGTCGAGCACTCTCTCGCATGGAAAAATTCTCGATCCTGCGCTCCTCTCTTGTTTTGCTAGAAAAACGGCAGAGGTAAACGTTCCCAAAAAAATGGCTGGTCCCAGGCGAAGAGCTGTAGCAAGGCTCCGACCTCATCCTCTGTTTCACCTCGCGTTGCAACATCCCCGGAAGTGGCTGCGAGCTCAGATTGTCAGGGGTCCAATCAATGAGCTGCAGCTTTTTGTGCGCGACCCGACATGATTGCAGCCGGGGCTTGGGGTGGGGAGGGAGGGGGGGGGGAGGGGGAGGTGGGGAGGGGGGGGGTGTGGGGAGGGAGGAGGTGTGGGAGCATGCCTTTTGCAAGCCGCTTGTGCGCCGAACCACCGAGGCCAAGTGATGCAGCCGCTAGCGTTAGCCGTTAGCCTTGGGGAGCAACACGGGCTGCTGTTGAGAGGGATGGAGATAAGAGAGTCAGGTTTGACAGAAAAGTTGGCTTAAACTTCTTTAGCTTTTGTGACCTTATGGTTGAAATCTTGGCATAGTGACTATGGCGTCTACAGGCTCGGCACTGGGTTTTGCGGTTTTAGGAGAGGCTCTTGAGCTCTCCTGCACCTGCATTGGTAATGTATGGCTTGTGGCTTAAGGTAGGGTTTGTTGGTTCGTTGCCTGCATTGCATCCTTGAACAGCAGCCCGGCCCTCCTCGGTGATCTGCTCGGTCTCAGAGCAAAAAGGTGAGCCATCTGATGTGCCGCAAGATGCTAGTGCAGAATGTAGAACATGCGAAATCATCTGATCAACCTGAAGAACCAACATGACAGGTTCGGGACCCTCCAAGCCCCCCTTCGCCCTGGCTGCCTTTATTTCCTATGTGGGATCTCGGGATCGTGGTATTTCAGATTTACTTCTCGGGGTTTCCACAGCATCACGGCGAAGAGGAGCCCTGGAAATTGAGGTAGGAAGCCTCAACTGAGAGGACCACGACATTCTCCGCACTACCCCTGGACAGGTCCAGGACACGGATGCCAGCCCGGCCGAAGAGAAGCAGCGTTGGGGCCTTGGAATGCGCAGCTGAAGTTCGAGGTTTCGGTGCTTGAAACACAGTTCGGGTGCAAGCGTTATACGGCTTGAATTGAAGGATCTTGGAGCTTGCTTGAGTTTGCATCATTCTGCACATGTCCAGATTGCATGCCGCTTCTTTTGGGCATGGGAGCTTGTGCTTGTTACGGCAACATACTTCATGTGGGCCAGCTTGAATGAGTTGCGATCACCATGAGTCTAACACGTCACTTGCTGGTGATACAGCCACTCAAGAAGCCAGAACAGCCGCTGGCGCTTAATTTCCAAAGATACACCGCTGGCCATGACCTTACCTTCTCGAAGGCTCAGCTTGTGTCTTGTAGCCCGCTTTTGGAGAGGTGGTGTTTAAAAACGCATCGCACGTCTAGAGGTGGAAGTTCCCAGACTTCGGGCGACAAGCTGAAGCCAAAGAGCCACAACAAGCCCCAAGCTCAAGTCCCTGAACTCCAAGGCATGGGAAAGGAACATATCCTGACTTACTTAGCTGCGTTGCCGAACCCTGAAGCCTGAACCGGGCGAGTGCGGCAAACCTCCATAGTGATAATGCCATGCAGCCCAGCGATGCCTTGCCGGCACCTGCAGCAGCTGTGCGCTGCGAAGCACGCTATCTCTGGACGCTGACTGTGCACAAGGCCTGCAGCCTAAGCCCTCGCTACGACAGGACCTGCGACCTCGAACCAGAATTCGTTGAGACCCGCTTAGTCCACCATTATCTTGGACCCTGACGTCCTTTCGCACCAAGACCTGTGCTTGGCTTTGCAGGTCCTAAGTGAGAGGCTGCCTGGAGAGGCGCGGGGTTGCCCGTATGCTGACATGTAGGTCTTCTTTCTAACCAGTGAATCGCGGCACTTTCTACCCTAGTCACCTCCATGGGCCCTTACATGACAGTGCAAGTGGCCAGATGGATGTGCTCCAAGAACAGGTGGGGCCGCTTGCTGCGAACATTGCGCAGGCTTCGAGCCCGCAGGCCGGGGTCGCACAGAAGCTGCACCTTTCGGTTTCGAATGTGCGGCATATGAGTTCGCGAGCTCACTTTTGCTCTCGACCCAACACTATACATGCACCAGTTCCGTGGGACCACAATATATGTCCCTGCTCTCTTCAGGGTTTGGGCGCCTGTCTGGCGTCATTGGGTCACCTGAGACAAGTGGGCGCCTGGTCCGCAACGTTTTTGGGTGTCGGGGGCTCAACAGTTTAGATATTGAGGGGGAGTGGGAAATTGAGAGTGTTCCTGAAATGCTGAACAGCTGGTTGACATGCCTGTGCCCATGAAAGCCAGAGATCTTGTCTGCCATGCACGCTCCGTACCTTCTGCCACCACAAGCCAAAGGATTTCAGCGCCAGACCCAAACCTTAAACCCTAAACCCTTAAACCCTAAACCCTAAACCTAAACCGTAAACCTAAACCCTAAACCCGTATAGAACAGACTTCAGGTGCGATAGCCTCACTTCTGTCGCGGCACCTCGGTTCTGAGGAGAGTTTCATGGGCCCTGACCCGAACCTCCTTTACAGGGCTCTCTGATGTATGGGCCCTTAATTTGTGTAATTAGAGGGTATATAATTACAGGCAGCCTTTTCAGGGCCCATACTAAGGGACCATGTTACTAAGGTCAGATCGGTGGGGCTCCAAAGGTCAGCTTCGTCATGAGCATATGGAGAGTCACCTACTGTACCCCTTTCTCCCTCCCGCCCCTCTTCATAAAAGTTTCACTTGCCTTCATCCTGGCTTGTGCCCCTCAAGCTCATGTCATACTCAATGGGTTTGGGGTTACCCTAAACCAACAGATAAGCCATGAAGCCTCTGGAACGGTTCGCCTAGCTATGCAGGTGCCAAATCGCATGTAGCAGTTCAGCAACCTAAGGTTCGAGGATGAGGACCAAGACCGCGGGATGCGGCAAGCGCGCGTCGAGGCCTTGCTTCGCCCGTGAGTTGAAGATGTCCTCCCCCCCCCCCCCCCCTCCCCCCCACATGAGGCCTTGTAGCACTTAAGTTCCGGAATCCGGAAGTTGAAGGTGGTTGGCGAGCCTCGACGGGCCTCGCCTGAATCTGCCGAGTTGAAAGTAACATTCTAATTGCCGGTTGAATACTGCTTTTGTGCTGAGACCGGGCGGTTGAATCGGTGAGCTTTTGTGACGTGCAGTGTCAAAGTTTGGAATCCGAAGCCTTGCCCGTGCGAGGTGCTCGACTTCCTGGAGCACAGCGCCACAGCAGCACGGCATGCCAAGGCAGCCGGGTAGTGGGGGGGCCTTCAGGGGGGGCTTGGGAGGTCTGTCTGGCTTATGTACTACTGTATTACCATCTCATGTGACTGTGAGGGATTTCGTGGGTAGCGCAGGAACATGAGCACGGCGATTCTGGATAGATGCCAGAAGGGGGCCTTTGCATCAAGAGGCGCATGGGGTTTGGCCCCAAAGGCTTGTAATTGTAATTGTAATCTGAGGCTCGAAAACGGTAACGGTTCTAGGGTTCGTCGTCTGACTTGGAGGTACTTTAGAGAGACCTTGTTGAAAGGGGTCCGTCAGTCTGGGTTCGTCGGGTCGAAGTCCAGGTCTGGACAGGGTTCGCCAAAGCCGCTTAAAAAGGGCGGTTCTTGGTGCGACCGCTTTCCCATCATACGCCTCGCAGTCAACAAAGGGATAACCCTGCTGCTCAAAGGGTTCTAGGTCCAAATGGGCAACCGCTACAACCGCACGAGGAGGCAAAAGAAGATCCCGCCGTCGGCCCCCACAGTGAGCCGTGCTTAAAGCTGGACCATACCACACAATGGCGAGGGTTGTCGCGGAAGAGCGCAAGGCAATTGTGACTCAGCAGGCTGCGAACTCTTACAGCCGGAAGCCTTGTGCAACTCCACGCCGAACTTCACCAGTTGCGTAGCGACTCAGCGACTCGCATCAAGTTTCTCAGAGAGGGTGGTGCAGAAATTGTGGGTGGACATGTCGTCTACTAGATATGAGTCACGATGAGCTAGGGAGCTAGGGTATGCTTGGTTTCTTAAGCGAGTCAGGTTGCTTCTTAAGACAGTACGCTATGCCACGAGCCCATACAGGCATGAGCCGCTCCGTTTCGAAACACCAAAACACTTGCACCCCAACCCAACCTCTCATTTCGGAAATTTCGGGCCTCGAGCGGCTCAAAATGAGGAGCCGGAAGCCGGATTTTCAGAAACTGGTCCCCCAAACTAGGGTATGTTAAGGTTCGAAGCTCAAAGGTGACCGCAAGTCGCCCCAAATCCCAGGGTCTAGGGGCTTCTACAGTTATATAACGGTTTTACTGCAGTGGTCTTACTGTACTCGCTTAGAGAGCTCACACTCCGACTTTGCTCTTCTAGCTTAGGGGAGGAGAGGCTTGGAGAGCCTTCTCATGTTCAATAGAGGCATGAGAGCTCTAACTTCTGCATTTGCACAGCCCAAGAAGGGATACTTACAGGGCCAAGAGCCGAAAGCCCGAAAGCCCGAAAGCCTATAAACCTTGCAACTCCCCACAGCCTTCAGTCGCTGGCGTCGCTGCTGCAGCGGGAGGATCCCAAGCTTTGCTCGCGATCCATCCGCCTTCTCAAGGTTGGGGGGGTGTGGCTCAAGAGGTGAAGAGCTCTTATGGATTGAGAGTGCTAGGAGCCTTAAACCGCCCTAAGCCTTTGGGCCTAACAGATGGCTGGGTTTGGAGACCTTGACTGCGCAGTAGGGTTGGGCTCCCTGCCTATTGGCTGCAGTCTGCCTGGTTTGCTGGTTCCTGAGATCTTGAGTCAGCCCTAAACCCTAAACCCCAAAAGACCCTAAGCTGGCAGGGCTTGGGCTCGGCAGCTGCAGAGCATGTAGCCCCACTTCTTGGTGCGAGCCTCGGGTTGGGGCTTCTTAGTCGGGATCTCACGGCCGCCATGTTGGGGTTCGGGGATGTTGGTGCTGTTCCGGGTTTAGGCGCCAGGGGTCTGAGTGGGTGGGGTGTGCAGGTTTTGGTGCTTCGGGCGGTGCACTGGGCTAGAGGGCATGCTGCACCACTCTCTGCGTGCCTCTACGACCACAAACAACGCGGCCCCCAGCAAAACCCCTACAATCCTCACAAGGCCCCTGAAGGCCACTTAGGGCCCCTCAGAGCTTCCAGGGGACGAGGATGCCAGATTTGATTGCATCGATGTGCTGCAGAGCCTGGGTCGACTGGCCGCGCCATGGCTGTGGTTCGGAGATCTCGGGTCTTAGGGCATTTCGGGTTTCTTTAATGCTTTCAGGGCTTTGCCCTTCAGCAGCCGAGCAACACTCTCTGGGTTAGAAGGTCTCAACTGAACCTGAGGGGGCCCTACATTCCTAAAGGGCCTGAAAAACAGCCCCTCTGCAGCATCAAGTCTTCCAAGCCACCCGCATCTTCGTGGACGCCTTAAGCTCACATCTCCCTTCGAGGTGCCCCACGTCGAGCCCTTGCTCCGCCATGACAGTGAGGTTGGTACGTTTCGTGCGTTTGGGACTCTGGGGGGTCGGTTAGGGTAACCGGGGGCAGGGTTTTGAGGCTTGAGGCGGAGAAGTCAGGGCTTTCATTTGGAGGATTGCAAGCTAGTCAGGCTTTCCGCGGGCCTTTTCCCTCCTGTCCGCCATCATCCCCTCACCTCTAGGCTTCATTTGATTCGATCCTCAGTTTGGTGTTTCTTCTTGAAGACTTGACACCCCCCCTTGCATTGTACTCCATCAGGATGTGCGGGTGGTGGCACAGAAGCTCCTGGCCAGACTGGAGGCTCAATGTTGCCAGGGCTGCCACGTGCTCGGGTCCGAAGTAAATCAACCGTCATGACCGCGACATCTCCAGAAGCACGCGCGACGCCGCGCCAGCTGCGCCGGGGTAGAACGGTAAGGCCCCCTCTAAGTTCATGTGTATCCCCACAAGTGAGTTAGGGTGCCAATTAGCGGCAGAATTCAAAACCCCAAGTATTCAGAGCTCCCTCCACAGGGCGCGCCGCGGCCGCTCCCAGAGCAGCTGCAACCTCCAAGCGGTCCCAAAACCAGAACGGTGGCTCGGAGTGTTGGTCTTTGTGTTTGTGTGTGCAACGTTCAGGGTGTTGGGACACTTTACGAGGTTGGGCTTAGCTAGGATTGAAACCCGACGGTGCTTGAGGCCTTCGGAGGTCGGACTTTAGGTTTGGGAGTTGCTGGCTTCAGGGTTTATAGGGTCCAGAGGAAGCTGCATCAGGCTGCATGCACGAAATAGGGCGAGCCCGCAGAAGTGCGAATCTTGCATTCCAGTACACGAAGCCTGCCAGACGTCATCTGCTAATTACCTCGTTGCAGGCTCTAGAAGATCTCCGAAGCTTGAGCCAAGCAGAGACCCATACCCTGAACATCAAACCAAGTGTCAATTGTGTGGTCTTTTTCGCGGCTTGTTTGTGCAGAAGAATCTTGAACATATATCATACACTTAAAACTCCTGGCGCTTTTTGCCGCAGGTATTCGCAGGTCAGCGAGGTAGGCGGAAACAGCGAGAAAACGTTGTTTGGAGAAAAGGTCCGCAACAGAATCGCGGTGTATATTCGGCTTCGATCACTCACAAATATAAGAAGCCCACTCATGGACTGCAAGACTACGGAGGCTCCGTTTGATGCCCGGGAATTCGGGCTTTTTTGGGGTCGGGACTGGGGAAGGTGGCGTGCAGCGGAGACTTCAAGCGCCGGCGGCTGACAGGCGGAGAGGATATCGAGCAGCCAGGTGGCGTTGTGACAAATCCTTCCAAAAACTCACATGGGGGTTTACGAGATAAGGGGTACCTTATTGGGGTCCTCATTATAAGGGGATCCTACAAATTGGGGGTGCATATTGGGGTCCCTTCATATCGTACACCCCCCACGTCTGTGAAAAGTTGCCAACGTAGCAGGGGTTGCTGCAGAGCTGGGTCACCGGGCTTTGTTTCACTTATCGCCCGAGGTTTGCTCAGCTGCGCCCAAGAAACCTAGGCATGCCGCATCCCCGAAAGGCAATCGAAACACCACGAAACCTACGAATTTGCACCTAGAGCGAATCGTAGTGACGTCGTCGTGTAGTTCCCTGTCCGATAACCTTCGCCGGGCCCCTGCTTCAGGTGCCCGTCTTATTCTGTAGTGACAGTGGCTAATGTCTTTCAGTCGTGTCCTGTTTGTACACGCTGGTGGGATGAGAGTTTTGCAGGGAAGCCCTCCGGAGTTTTTTTTGAGACTCCCGAAGCACTTTTGGGGTTTCTCATGGCTTGCAGCCCTGAGCGTATGATACCCCCCAAGATCCCAAAGTCCTACTTTAGTGTTCTGAAAGGAGGGGGTATCAAGGCGGGGTCTGTAACCCAAGGTTTCCTATACTCCCCACTACTGCAAAATCCTAGGTACATCGATGGCATCATCCGCGAGTGCGTGAAGCGGTCTCGGCCGCTGCTGGAGCTGGCGCCGCCGCCGCCACCGGGCCAAGAGGCCTCCCCCAGCGAGGACCGGAAGCATGGTTTAGGGTTTAGGGTTTAGGGTGTTCGGGGCTTATATCCGGCTGCAGGAATCCGGCCTGGAGAAGCCTGTTGCTAAACGGGGGCTACAGATGATTTTGGGGCCCAGTTCACAAATGTGGGATGCCAGGCCGGGTTGGCAACTTGCCTGTGACCAAACCACAGAGCGTTGCCTGGGCACAAGTGTGCCGTTGCACCACTGGGCATGCCTACCTCATAGTCACTCGGGATCCTCGAAACTCGTTGACCAGCCAGGGCACTAAAAACAGTAGAACCTTTCTCTTACCCGACGAAGGATGCTGCAATGCCGGGTTGGAGATCTAGCACGGGATCATCACCATCTTCAACCCTAGCTGCTTGATAGAAGTATGCCTGTCCAGCATGGTAATGTCCTATCAAATGCTGCGCTGCTTTGTGCATGGCCTTGCAGCCTCAGCACTGGCCTCCTCCCCTTGGTTTGGCACGGCGATCGTTTCATCGTTGTGACATCCCTCGCATTCCCTCGCGCACGCGCGGTGAGGCAGCCTCGTCAGGCCGTCAACCTCCCAGGTGGGGAGACCTGGAAGGTTTGGGGCTGTGCAGGGCACAGTGTAGGGATGTATCGGGTTGACAGTTGCCTGCCGGTGAGGATTGCATGTTGGTCGCTTGTAGGCCTTGAACTCTGAAGCCAAGTAGCGCCCAAAAGTGGAGAGTACAGGCTGCTATTCTGCACAACGACTAGGAAAGTGCCAGTTTAACGCAAGAGCTCGACTTTCTGTCAAACCTCGGAAGCCAAACCAGGACTGTGCTCTACGTCCAGCTAGACGGGGGCGAAAAACAAACCTGTTCTGAAACTTCGAGGCTTCCATGACGAGGGTACAAGAGACATGCGGAAGGTTGTGCTACTTACAAGAACATACAACTGGAACGGCGTTGGCCTGGGGTTCTGCGCAGCTTCTCCACCGGTCCAAGGTCGCGCAGGCAAGTTCGAGAATCTCGAGAATCCCACCTTCACGGAGATTCGGTGCCACCAACGCTCGCAATCACGGGCCCGGTGCTGCTTGCCGCACCGCCACCGCCGCCTCTGCCGCAACTGCCGCCGCCGCCGCCACAACTGCCGCCGCCGCCGCAACTGTTGCCGCCGCAACTGCTGCCGCCGCAACTGCTGCCGCCGCAGCAACTGGCGCAACCACCGCCACCCCTGCCCAAACTGCCTGCGAGCCCGCATGGAATGCTCCTTGGTCCATGCCGTGCAGAATTTGGGGCTGCGCCTGGCACTCAGCTATCAGGGCATCTCACGGCAGTCAACTTTGACACTGGTCGCTCATAATGTAGAGAGGTGACCATTTGCGATCGGAGGCCTGCGCAGCCGCCTTTCCAGCTGCAGATCGGGCCGGTGTGGCCCATGTGGCAGTTGTGTTCCATGCACATGCCCGTGGACATGATGCCCATGATGACTGCGTCTCCGCAATTCGCAGTGCATCCGCGAGTGCGATTCAGCTAACATGCACAGGCAGATCCTTGTAACCACTTTGTACATAGCAAAGCGCGGCTTTGCAAAGCGGGGCGGCGCTTACTTGCTCATTTTTGACATTGGCCCTAGCCCCTGTCAAAAAGTCGCCTGAAAACAGCTCCGGCCACAGGAGTGCCCAAAGTCCACAGCCATGGCAGCTACCGCCCTGGCCTGCCAAGCCGAAAAGTTTATTGAGTCTTTGCATATCTCTGCAGACCCAAACCAAAAAAGATGTTGTTTAGATGACCTCAGCCTGAGGCAAGCAAATTCGTTTGGACCTAGCGCGCTGCTTTTCAGAGGCCAAGGGCAGAACCTTTCGGAACAGTCGCAACACTCAGAGTGTAGCATATCTTCAAAGATCACTTGCGAATTGGGCCTGGCAAGGAGTGTTTTGTTCTGCTGCACTTTTGAACTTTGATTCTTGGAGAGGTACCATGACGAACATGAGGTCGCTGAGAGCACTCGTGTCGCGAATGCGTTCTTCTTGTCTCTGTGATATATATATATATATATGTATATCTTAATGGGCGACCTGATCGACCACATGTGTCTTCGGTGACCTAAATCGTCTTAGCATCACGCGCGAGGTTTTACGGAACCCTGAACAGGGCTGTGCTGCTTGAAGGTTCGGGAGCGTGTCTGCACCAGTTGGCCGTGCATGCTATCATTTACCAGATTTACCGTTAAACCCCCCCCCCTAAACCCTAAATGTGGGTTTCTTAACGGTAAAAAACCCTAAATGTGGCCATATCACCAAGTCACATCCTTGGCAGGTTCCTCGCCTCAGCTGCGGCGCCGTGCGTGCAGCGCTTCGGCAAGTGCTAGAGGTGCATGTGCGCAGGCAGGGTATGGCAGGGTGGTGGCTTGGGCTTATCTTGGGGTTTATAAGGGGCTTCCGTCCGACTCGAGCGGGAGCGCAGCATTGAGCAAGAATGCAGCCTTGACATACAAGTCAGTTTTCGTGTAATGATGCTGGTGGCTTTCATGTGTTTCGTCAGTCTTGAATCGGGACCAAACCTCCGCAATGCGTTGGGCGACATCAATCATGCGCCCACGTGTCCTGGGTCCATCCCTGCGATGCATTTTCGACGTCCCAAATGGGCCTAACCCCCAAAAAAAAGCAAGCGCTGAAATGTTGCAGCAAAACGAAGCCAAACTGGCAGTGTAAAGTATTACGGCTGCCACCTATATCGACACCAAAACCTTCAGTCTGTTGATTAGGCTCCACACACTCACTGCCCTTCTCCAGCCGAGTCCAAAATCTCTGACCGCTGTTAATAAGCTCCGACAAAGGTCTTCCCAAGAGGACTAGAGACAGCCATCTGACGGCCCCATACCTCCTGCCCCCCCACACGAAGGTGACCAGGGAACGGGAAAGCAAGGGAATGCAGGCTTGCTACCGGGGAGGGGGGGGGGGGGGGGCAGGTCTCGAGATCTTCGAGGGGAAGCGCCCGTGTACTGCCGACATCTGAGAAGGGATGCTGTGCGCTTGAACCAGTGTTCGCGTTTCCATGCCGTAGGTGAACTGGAGCGCTGAGCCCCTGAGCCATATATATATATATATATGTAAACGATGCCAATTACTAATTGCTTAAGAACCCCCCAAAAAATCACAAATATTCCTCCTATTTCCTCCTTATAAGGGCAAGAGAGGGATTTGTTTGTTTTTGTTGGTGGGGGCGGGGGGGGGGGGGGTTCTTAAGCAAGCAGCTTATAGTCAATGTATGTCAAAAGGTAGAGATCCAATCCTTGCATGGCCCCAAACCTTCCAATGCCAAACCTCTCAGTGTCAAGGGCATCTGCTTAGCAGTCTTGGCGGAGTCCAATTCCCAAGCGGAACGCAGACGCACTCGATCTGGTTGCAGCTGTGGCTTGACCAGGTCAGGGCTATCATGAGCTCGCAGCGGTTATGTTGCTGGTCTGCTGGCGCCTCAGGGACAGGTCCAAACGCTGAACAGTATGCCCGAAGGCAGCCACAGGGAACCTGCCATGCAAGCGGTGGAAAGCGCCAGCTTCAGAATCAGAGAAACCGACGAGGACCTGACCTTCTAGGCAGTGAGATTGAGTAGTGCGGGAATGTGTGGGAAGTTGAGGAGTGGGGGGGGGGGGGTCTAGGGCACACTGCAATTTCGAATCTGTAGAGCACACCCTGTATCCAAGAGCCCAAAGCTCCTACTACCTCTTGAACCTTAAAATGCCTCTTATGAAAAACCCTAAAACCCCTAAACCCTAAAACCCTAAAACCTAAAAACCCTAAAAGCCCTGAAACCTGATCAACCCCGCGAATGCAAGGCATGGATGGCTCCTGGCCCTCCGACCCACAGCACGTCGCCGCCCAGAGCTGAGAGACCAAAGTGATGTTATTGGGTTTAGGGTTTAGGGTTAAAAAAAAGAGTTGCCATGATTTGTTTTCTTGTTCTTTTTTTTTTTTTTTTGGGGGGGGGGGGGGGGGGGGGGGGGGGGGGAGTCGGGAGGTGGGTGGCTCCATGTCATCTTCTGAAAAGGTTCCCATCCGAAGGTCGAAAACTTAAGATCGTCGCTTGGTTCTGGGTTTGTAGGGGTTGAGGATATCTAACACCCAGCATACTGGAAGTTTGCCCACAGTGAAGATCTCCGACCGAGCCATTGTGGCCTCTAGTTCCTATGCATGATGCGCGAAGCCACACACACACACACCCTTTTGCGTCCCTAAGCCCTAAACCCTTCTAAACCCTAGCCATTCTTCCAAGGAACAGCTTGCGGCCTCTACTCGAATGGGAGCGGTGGTGGATACAGGCACCCCGGGCGTGAAAGCAACGAGCTTGTAGAGTAGAGCTCGGGGTCTCAAGTAGAAACTGTCTTTGTACCACTTTTTGCACCGCATCCTCGATGATGCACTTCCTCAACACGGCGGAAGTATAAGTTCGGACGCATGATGATGGGCGTGCTTTGGCCATCGATGGTCGATGGCCATATAGACTCAGGTTGCTCAACCAGCCAACAGGATCCAACAGACACCCAAAATCCTCTCTCAGACCTCCAGCATCAAACCCTGAACCATCCTAAACCCTAAACCCTAAGCCCTAAGCCCTAAGCCCTAAGCCCTAAGCCCTAAGCCCTATAAACCCTAAACCCTAAGCCCCGGCATCTTTCTCAGACGACGTCCCGGTCTACGAAGAGCTCGCGAGCCTGGAGGCGGCTCTTGCGGACGCGCTGGCGCCGCTCCCAACGTGTGTTCGGGGTTCCCTGCGCTTCTGCTGCCGCAAGATTCGCAGTAGAACCCTAAACCCTAAACCCTAAACCCTGAGTTCGACACTCCCGAGGCTCTCCTGGAGGCTCTTCTCTACGTCTGGACCCTAGCTACCTCTTCCCACCAGCAGGTTTAGTAGGGTTCGTGTAACATGGGGGGTCTGAATAAATACTACTGGTATTCCCCTATGGTCCCTAGATAAATACTATCCTTGGGGTTTAGGGATTGGGTTTGGCTTTCTGGGGCCCATAGGCGGGAGCCCGACATCGATGCAAGTTGCTCTCCACACCCTCTCACCCGAAAACTTCGGCAGCCGTGTGATCTTGGGTGACGGAGACTTGGGTGTTGCTACTTAGGCTGGGAATTCTATGCCTTGCCCTTTTCGGGGCCGTAGATGTAAGGAATCAGGCGTCGCGCTGGCACTTGAGCAATCTTGGCTTAGGGCATGGAGTATAGCGTGCTACTCGTACCTTCAGCTCATCCACAGCCATTGCTCCCGAATGTTTTGTTTTCTGATGGCCTAGGATCACCGGCTCGCGGACATGTACGAGCCTAGACGTGGAACGCGGACAGGCAACGCAGCGCTGATACCACGACATCACCTGATATCACCAACATGACCTTCTGCTCTGCAAGTTGCCAGGTGATTGTGATAGGCCATGATTGGGGAGTCCAATATGTGCAGTTAGGGCCTTTTGGCCTTCGGGCCCGGCTGGAAGGCGATGCTGAGGACGACGAGGAGGCCGTCGTCGCCCGAACCTTAGCAAACTGCAAAAGCAGAAAGCTGTGGATTCTAGGGCACCAAGGCTTGTAGGGCCTTTCAAGGCTTGAGGGCCCTGAGTTGGGAAAGTCTATGGTGGCTCTTACAGTTCAAAGTCGAGCTTTAGCGAGTACGATCCACAGCAGGACGGGGGTCAAAGAGTTAGGGAGTGGTAGAGAGTTTGGGCTTCGGGCCTAGGGATATTCTATGCCGCCAGTCTTGCAGCCTAAAAACCCGCAGCCCTGTTGCCAAGGCAACTCGATGCAAGCGCATCTTCATGGCACTGCGAAGGGCCCGCCCGGGTTTTATTTCTGTGGCTGGAATGCTCTTCCCTGCTCCCCGGAACCATGCCGAACATGCATAAGGGCAGGTCCCTGCCCATCTACCGCCGGCTCCGAAGACAATCAGGGTGTCACCTGCTTTACAACTCCAAACAGTGCAGCCGTTTGGGCAGTGCAGCCATTTGGGTAGTACTGTGGCGGCTTTCGGATTTCGGATTGCCAACAGCTCAGGAAATTCAAAATAAGTTGCGAGCCTGCTTCGTGACAGGTCTCCCCGGACCTGGCCAATCAGGCACGGAATTACGTGCTTTTGAGTTTTGATGGGTGCAGCTGGGGTGGGGTATTGAAGGCTCAGTTCAAGATCCCTTGACAGATTGAAAGCTGGGACATGACGCCCCACGTGCTGCTACTGCGTTGGGTGGTCGCCTGAGTATGGCCCGAGGGTCGCCACAAGATTCAAGGGATCAGGTCTTTTGGACAGATCTGTTGCGCTCGGATGATTGCAGGGCTGGTTCAAGGCTTTCACCTAAGCCTGGCAAGTCAGACTCTGCAGTCTGAAAATGAACCAAAACCCAACCCCAGGTGAGGCTTCTTTTCCTGCGAGAGCTGCCATTCCCAGAGCAGCTCTTGGTAGCCAAGGGCTCAGAGCACGAGCAGGCTTGGTTCCCACAAGTGACGGCATAGAAGACCATCACAGTGACAGACACTGCAACACGTCATTCCAATAGCAACCACGACATCAGTAGCAGCGATAGCTACCATTCAGAAAACAGGTTCAAACAATGACAATAGCAATGGTGTTACCACAAACAGGAGCTGGATGCTGTTGGGGGCTGGAATATTTCTATTCGGGGCTGCAAAACACATTGCTGTATGTCAACATCCTCAACCAATCGCAAGGCAAGCTGTATGATGTTTTAGCGTCGCAGAATACCGTGGACACGATTCTGCCTGATGTTGCTCATGTTCAAGGGTCGCTTTATGAGCTGGGGGTCTTGGTGTCGTTTACGGCTGCTCCTGACGAGTGGGTGAGAGCAGTTGCTGATAGGGCTTTGTCTGATTAGTTTTGTTCATGTGCACTGGTGCTATCGTGGAGCGATGGTGCAGTCACAGTCCCGTCTAAGGCAGTAGCACAGCGCGGGTTCAAAAAAAGGAGCAAACTTAACACGAACAAGAGTTCGATTGTGCTGTTGAACACTCGACAAGAGCAGCAGTACCTCCACCGTGCGGATGAAGTCCCGAAACCGCAACAGTGGACTGAATTTTGACATGAACCACAAGAGCAGGTTCGAATGAAATTCGTCAGTGGTGTTTGCTGTTGGGTTCAAGGTGGCGTGTTTTCTTTCTTCAGCTTCTGTGCTAGACGGCTCCTTCTTCAGGACCTTGCGGGTCACGAGCCTGAGGAATTTGGTTCTCATGCGGCTTCGATGTTTCTGCACCAAGGCCTGGGATACACTTTTTGCTGACGCACCTTGGCATTTTTACAACACTCCGCAACGGTGCGAAACCTGGGATCGAATCTATAGTTACAGGGGCTCAGGTGGGAAGGTTTCGCTTCACCGGACAGAAGTCAAATGAGAACCATCCTTGAACATGTTCCTGTTCGAAAGCTACTACATCTGAACCCCATTGCACCCAGTGTCGGAGCAAGTCCAAGTCCCTAACTTTCCGACATCCACAAACCCATGCCGGACACCCTCCAGCAGTTCCATCCTACACAGGTCCTATGGTCCTAAGGCCTGGAAACCCATTAAGGCCAGCAAGACGTGAATGACAAAAAGCATCCTAAAAGCAGTCCCAAAGCCCAACTTTTCGGAGTCGCTGCCAGGCCCTTGTCTTCTACCAAGTGGAGGCCAGCCCCCAAGTGAGGCTGAAGATTACGCAGGTTTTGTCTGGAGAGTCCCCGGATCTCCTGGAGCGCAGTTGGGGATGACAATGCGAAAGGGTAGGAAGGAACAACTACAATGTTCAGCAAAATTTAAAAAGAGGTTGGAGAGATTGGTGCAGGTTTTTGAAACACTGCGTGAGATGGGGAGAACTCGGGGATTGCAGAGGACTCAATACTGGGGCAAGAATTTGATCAGGAGCCACGAATGAAAAACACGTGGTTCGAGACGCCTGAAATCGAAGCTGACAGCGCACCATGAGTCTAGCTAGGGGACGACAGCAACTATGCTTAGAGGGAGGAAAGCAGAGGCGCTCATGTGCAGAGCTTGCGTATACTCTTCATAGGCTTTCAAGGATAGAGTGGGGCTTGGACTTTAGGGTTCAGGCTGAGATATCTGTTGTGGCGCACTAGTTCAAGGAAGGTTGTCCAAGTGCGGCAAGTGCAATCCTGAAAGCCCTGGCCGCCAGTCCCCGAAGCCCCCAGAAACTGCAAGGGTGGACAGCCGGTCCCTTCCGCCGGAGCCCCACATGCTCTCCCCTGGCTTTGATGGGTGTGAAGGGGTCCTGTGGCAGACTGCGTTTTGAGAAAGAAAGAAAGAAATTGGAAAGAGAGACAGAAAGGTGCACAGGAAGGAAGGAAAGAAGAAAAAGGAAGGAATGGAGACGGGAAGGAAGAGAATAACACCAAAAACGAAACAAAAGAGGCAGAGAGACCGAGAGTTCCCATCACTGAGCTTGACTCGGGTCTGGATGGCCTTATTGGGGGCCCAATGTCCGCCAAAGAGGCGGCAGGTCTAAGAAGACGACTGGGGGATTCGCTAGTGTAGAAGAAAGGGAGAGGCATGCAGAGCAGCTTTGTCTTGATACTTATGTTACTTTGCTCTCATCTCCGTCAAGCCTCAACTGTTTGGGTTGAAGTTCCGGCTCACCAACATTCTTCCCGATGTTCCAACCTTTCCCAGGACGTTTCTGTTTAGGAGCTCGAGCCGCGGTCTAGTCTGTCCAGGTCCTCCCAGCAAGTGCGGCGCTTCCCTTGGCCGATTCTTTGGCCTTGGCGTGCTCCCGGCGCGAATTTTTCTTGGTCATGGAACATTGGGATATTCCCCCCTTATGCTACGTGACCGTCCTTAATGGGATTGGTAATCGGGGGTACTGGCGGCTGTTAGTATAAGGAGAACATCCCAAATGGAACACATGGTTCAACGCAAGGACGTGGGCGAAGTGCCCACTAGACTGCCTGATGATATGAGTAAGAGACAACCCAGTCTAGAACAACGATCCTGCCACGCCACTCAACTTGAGTGGCCGGCGTGGGGCTGGCGCAGGGAAGCCAAAGTTAAGCTTATCTCGCTTTTTTTCTCATTGCGAGAACCACCTCCCAGACCCACCCCTCAATCCTACAAGCCCAGCCACACCGGGCTTTCGATGATTCACCTGCCCGAAGGCCCAAGCCCCCAAACCCACCAAAACTTACTGTCGTGCTCAGAAGCCTGAAAAGCTTGAACTCGAAAATCCTACACCTAAAAGCCCTGCTTGGTGGGCAGGAAATCAGGCTTCAAATGGTCGACTGTGCTTGTCATTCTTCGTGTGCATTTTGAGGCACCCCCTGGCGCGCCCTTTATATAATATCAACCCCCAACTCAACTCATCGGGCATCGGGACCCTGAAGACTCCTCTAGGTACCTGAACTCATCTTCCCCCCCAGCACAGACCCAAAAGCCTAAGCACCCCAGGATGATCGTGGCAAGTGCCCCGGAGAAGCCCGAGGAGCGAGAGTCCCAGGAAAACCCGGGCAGAGGCACAGACTCGCCTTCGGAGCCTCAGGAGGGTTTCTTCCAGGCATACGCCAAGCTCCTGGTTCAAAGGGTAGTTTAGAGTTAGAGTATTTAGAGACCCAGCCCAGAAAGAGGGACAAACATCAGACAGCTCGATTCTCGGAACAACGCCCGGCCCTCAACCCCAATCCACGCAAGCCGAGGCTCTCACGCATCTCCGAGAAGGCCCTGGACGTCAGACGCCTCCTTGCCCTTGCCGGCGACCCTGGAGCCTTCGGGGATCATGCTAGAGAGTCGCAACGGTAGTTCAGGAAGAGCCTTGCACAGAGAACTGGGGTGAATGTAGATGGAATCTGTAGATTGCGGTTCCCTGACCCGTGTTCAGATAACGGTAAACCGCAATAAAGCTGCACATGCACCTGCCTGGCAGAGAACAGATTGCGTTTTAGCCTCCCACCCGATCTGCAACACTATGGCTGCCAGCAAGTAGGCCTCACGTGCGGTTTCATATGTCGGCACGATATCCAGAGCCTCCGCATGAAGCCATTGCTACTGCAGGCGCCTTATAAGGTACAAGCTTCTCGACACCCTGGGCATACAGACCCTAGACTAGAAAGGCCTAGAAAGGCTATGGAGGGCCAACTACATCCCAAGTCTTAAATGCCTCACAGCCCATGTGCAATCTAGAGGCCTGATCCCAGCATCCAACTCAAATTCTGTAGGTCCCAGGATTGCGAGTAAGATTCGGACATCAAGCCCATCACCGGAGCTTCCTTTGCTGGGCTCAGGCCTGCCAACTGCGAGACTTTGCGGCGCAAGCATCATGGAGCCTTTCCCAGCCTTGCAATGGTCATGTTACGTCAGATATTCTTATTCTATGTGTCGTTGTGCGTGTTTTTTTGTTGCTCTGCTCCTCTCCTACCGGTTCTGGTCGGGATCACATGTGGGTAGATAGATATGCGACGGCATGGGGCGTGATCGAGGTAGGCAATTGTGTTGGGTTTGAAGTTCAGAGTGCTTCTTCCAGTTCAACAAAATGGATGTATTCTCAGCCCATGTGCTCGCCCACCCAATCCCACCCAGAACCATAGGGAAAGGGGGGGTGAGACTGGGTACACGTAGGGGGGGGGGGGGGGGGGGGCAGACTACGTCACGATTTGCAGCATGCCTGTGGGCCCTTTGAACCTTTGAAATCTGCGTTCTGCAACCAGCATGGGGAAATCCCCCTGGCAAAGACAGAGTGCAAAAAGAAAGCCCGAAGCAAACACGACTACTCAACTCACAAATAAGATGACAACAGGCCAAAACAAAGACAGAAAGCTCGAGCCAGATTCCCTCAGGTCATCAGAACATTATGTCCTGTCTTGCACGACGATCCGCTCCTTGCGAGAACAGCAACTCGCACCCCCTTGATGTCCTGACGCCCGAGGAACACAATTTGCGTGCTGGCATAAAGGGTCCGACATGCTCCCAAACCTCCAACCAGATCAGCGAACACTACCCTGAGGCAGCCCGGCAGCGCGAGGGCATCCGGGCCAGTGACGAGCCTTGCGCTCGGTTGGGACCAGGTTTTGGGGTTCTGCGGGCTTTGGTTCAGAATGTTTTGCTCAGGATCTCGGTTTGCAATATAGGGTTATCTCTGAATTTCAAGTTACTTCTGCCGCTGCGAAATGTGACGCGATGGCATGCGCTGGCTGTCCGAAGTCGGTCGATTGCCGCAAGCACAGACCATGGTTCATTGGGGGCTTGTGTGCGGGAAACCTTCTCCAGCGGCAGGATCTTCGAACTGCGTCGTGTGATGATGTGCAGATGATGACTGCAGATCTGCACGAGCTCTTGAGCCGCTCAAAGTTTATCGGGACCCTGCGGTACTTGAATATTCACACCAAAGTGTTGTGAGTGTAGCCGCCTTGGGATGTAAACCGTCCATTTGAAGCAACAAACCGCGCAGATCATGAAGCTTGCGAAACCATTGCAATCCCCTCGTAAGCCAAGGCAACGGCTTCCCACAGCCCCCCGCCGCGTGCTATCCCAATGTGTCAGGCCTTATTATTTTTTTGTTTCTTCTTGTGGTCTCCCTGCACCGCGGTGGCTTAAAGTGGTTGTGAGTTGTAGAGCCTTTCGAGTTTGGGGCTGCGCGATTGCTGGCATCTTTCTCCCGCTGATGCGTAGAACAAGCCACTTCAGGTTTTGCAGATGCGTGGGGCACGCAAGACCAAGCACTCAGGTAAGACAGAGCTTCCTGAAAAGATAAACAGAAGAGCTACATGGGCAATTCCTGTTAGCTGCTGTTAGCTTAGAAGAAACAGTGGTTCACTCTTCTGCAGAATAATTTCAGGCCTTTTGTAAGACAGTCCACGATCCCGCCGGAAGCCCTTCGCAATCACCCATGTCCAGCGAGAGGCATCCAACGGCCTCCGGCACGGCCCAAGGCGACAGCCACTTTGACATCTGGTTTTTATCCTGCCCGCTGTTCTAAGTTGTACACCAGTCTGTCCTGCATAGCATTTCCCACGAGTCTGTCACAGTCCATCCCCTCGGCCAGCGCACGCGAAGCATGCGCAAGAGTCGTTTGGCCAGGATCGTCGCTACACTATGGGTGAATCCCTGGGTGGTGACGTGGTCGGCCAAGCACTAGGCCCGCGCCCCCTTTCGAGGTTGAGTGCTTTCACGACAGCTGCTACACTACTTTCCAGCAGAATACCCATGTTGTTTTCCGAGAGTTTCTGCAAAGTGCTGTCCACCATTCTCTTTTTGCCGCTCGAGGCTGGGCTGCATCACGGCTCTCTGGAGCGCTTGACGGGGTCTTCACAAATGGCACCGATCAGCAAGACGAGAGGTGCGGCAGACAGCCTGTCTTTCAAAGAGCCCTGCTAAGATTTGCGAATCCTCAGTCTTGACTTTTGTATGAAGCACAGAGCTTGCTTTTTTGAGGCCTGCGGATGGACTGAAGCTTTTGTGGAGGCCCTGAACCGTGAAGGCGTTTTCAACCCTGAAAGCCCTGCCAGGCCTCGCGCTGCTTCCGAAGCTGAACGCGCGCGCCGTCCCCAGTCCAGGGTGCGGCCTACTGAGTCCACCTCACAGGAGCGAATATTTTTTCACAAGAGTAGGAGCAGGAGGTGCCACAGTCGCCTGGAGAATAGGGCGACTAGGGGGAGGGGCCAACCGCCGCAAAAATGAATACCTCCGAAGGCGGGAAAGCGTTGCGGTTTTGTAAGCCCTGCACGGGGCCTTATGTCATTCATGTACGTCTTTGACATCTTTCTTCAGC